TGATTCTTTTCCCACTTGCTCTTACGAATCTCTCTCCTTTTACCATATATATTTTAATTCTTTAATTAAAAAAAAAAAGAAAAAATGCCATTTCCAACTGTTCACGTAATCCGCATGTTATACGTTTCGTTTTTAATAAATTTTTAATTAAAGACGTTTTTCAGTTTTAGAGAAGCGTTACCTCAAACCGGATGAGCATCGTGAATTCGATAAATGCGAAAGCGCAAATGTAAATTTGCAGCGCTTGGTAGTTGATATTTTCACGTCGCAAAGCACCTGCCGCGAATTATCATTTATTCCAGTAGTTTTAATTTTATTAGCACATGTAATAGAGCTTTGTTAAACGCTCCATTACATTGTTAAATGCGATAAGAGCCGTGATATGCGAAAACACCATTATAATTTGTTAATGGAAAAGATATAATAGGGATTTTAATAATCTCATAGGCAAATAGATTATGAAGAGATGTAATTGGCGCAATACGCTTGTAACAATATTCATTGCATATTGCGCAAAATAAAAATGAATAAATTATTAAGGGTGTTTTTTATAAGAGTTGTATTTATAGTCGTTATTGAATGTTATCTAAAAAGTTTATCAGACGATACTCAGAACAGGAAATAAAACGTAAAAAATAGAAAGTAAAACGTTGACAATCTAATAATCATGTTTAAATTAGAGATTACGACTACTCACAATCATCAACTCAGCAAACTGCGTGCTGAGTAACGTCGGCCTTGAAACCCAGTCTCAAGCTAAAGCCTAATAATGCACGTAATATTATTACAAATTATTACTATCGAACGTAATTTTATGGAGATAAGAATCTATAAGTCCAAAGACCTATCAATTAAGGGATTTGTGAACTAGCGATTCCAACAATTTGTAATTTCAAATAATATTAATAATTTGTGGGTTCAGCGAAGTGTAAAGCAATTTACACATCTATAGATCTGTGGATTTGCGGATGTAGCGGTGAACCTAAGCGATCTATAGCTCGAGCCATCTACGTGTCTACGAATTTAATCTGTCCTAGCTGTCTATGCAACCATGAATTTATAAACCTGCATAAACTTATAGCGATATAAATTTTTTCTGTCTACCGTTAAATTTAAAACGTTTTTCAAACTCGGGTAATTCTAACGAACTACTTTTGTGATCGATATAATTTCACAATGTCATTTTATACTGTTATCTTTTAACACATCAATCAAAATGTAAAGAATGTTACCTTACCCCTAAAAGTCTTATTAATCAGTAAAAATTGAACTATTTAGATGATAATGTAGAACTGCTTTGATTAAATATTTTAATAGTATCTTCTTTTTCAAACAATGTCATATTTTTATTCTTAACAGCACGCAATTTAGATAGGAAATATTAAAATCGACTTTTTGGGTGTTGCAAATATCTTAATGAATATCTCGGTGTTATTTATAAATAGCTCCAATAATTAATATGTATCAATAACCAATATACATAATCAAGTCGAGTCATAATACATATTTTTTGCGGAGTTTTAAAACGAGACGAGTGTCTCGTAGCTTCCCCGCTTTCAATCAATAATACAATATACTTCTTCGCATCGTCAGCAATCCGTCGCTCCGACCGACAGAATCCCTTTAAATTCATACACGCGCCAGAAACCCGATCGCGACGAACACGCCTATACGGTGGTAAATGCGGATGCGCTCGCGGATCGATCTGATATCCACATGATACGGTATGATTGCGAGCGGATCTCGAAAAATACGGCCTACCGTGACCCGTACGATGAGCACGGGCAATGTACGGCAGAGACGCTCATGTAATATATAATGTGTATGGTGCACATAACGAATATCTTACGCGGCCACCAGAGCGTTTCCTTACACCGTTAACCGTATCGAAGTGGGTTCTCGGTTCTGGTCGCGTGCTGGTCACCTTGTTCCTTACCAATGGCAACGTAATAGCGTTGTAAATGTCGTCGGCACCGAGGTCGTCCCCGAGACTCACCGTGCAGGTCGCCTTTTCACCGGCGATAATTAATGCGAGCGTGTGTCGTCGCGAGCGACGAAAGGCGGACGTCCCGGGTATCGTAACGTAGATTAATTGGACGCTTAATCGCTTTTATTGTATCGCGTATACTTCTCTCGCAGAGGCCCCCGGAAGTATGAACGTATATTCCATTCTATATTTTGCGCCTTATGCAAGGCAAACGACCGAGGCAGCCCGCGCAATACATATAAAGTACCAATAAAGAGGCGATTAAAGGGAAATAATTATTCGCACATTCGCGTTGCTCGTGTAGGTGTGCTGGGGAGTTTAAGTGAAATAATTGAAACTCTTGAATATAAATGCGACGGTATGTACCGACGATAAAATCGATAATTGTCCGTTGTATATAAGTTGCTGTTATTCTTGTATTGTAGCACAGCTGAAGACAAATTGCAACGAGTCTCGGGCGATTTTTCACAATGTGACTTGCAATTGAAAGAGGCATTAGCAACAAATATCTAAATTAAATTTATGTCCAATGCAAGAATTTTCGTATACAGAATATATAGAATTTAATTTTGTCTCAGTGGTCGAATTGGTAAAAATGTCATCACGGGTTGAAGAGAAGTATAAACTTGAACCTTAGTCTCTGATATTTTTCACAATAATTCTTTGCAGTGATTTAAAAGAGATGCTTATTAACATCGAAAGTTAAATCGATATGTGGGGATTTATTGTTTTAACAAAAGTTATGTTTTAAGACCGACAAATAAATAATCGACGCGCAGTTTACTAAGATGAAAAAAGTATACAAAATTCATACCTATATTCAGCCCAACCGAAAATGGCACCTTCTCTAGTTAATTGTAGAATTTAATTGTTAATATTATAAAATATTAAAAGTTATGATATTTTATAATGGTATAACATTTATAAAATATTATACATATATATACATTATACATATAATATTATAATATTTTTAATGTTGTTAGGAATTAATAAGAAACAAATACAGATTGGGGATAAATATAAATTAAAATCTTATTATCTATTTCCGAAACATAATCCACAAAAGAGCTGCCCTTTTCAGTATTTCGCAATTTAATAAATATAATCGCTATCTCAATAAGTTTTATTTTTTAACTGAAAATCCTCTTCTCCTGCAATTAGATTTAAATAACCAATTCGCCCTGAACGTTTCATACGACGATTCCAGTCCGTATTACTCCTGACCCCATATTCGCGCCGCTCTCGCGGAAAGAAATTCAAATCGATTAAAGCGTTTACGCAATTTTGGTAAACCAGGGCAACGGGGTTTTCTTCTGAGAAGAAAGTAAATCTGGTTAAAATTGAAAATAATGCGCGATCCGCTATAGTGCCGCGAGCGCGACTGAACGGCAGTAAATTGCCGTGAAAAAAAAGGATGTTAGCTGCATAACAGTTATAGAATAATACGGTTGTTAGGTTTTAGCCGCTATATTTATGGAAGTTCACTCCATGAACGTAATTCACTATTCTGTTTACGAGCCGAACGCGCGTACGTTATCGCGGTCTGTTCTATACTTATCATATACGGTACTATTTGCTCTACAAGACGTACTGCTGTAACGTCGTTTTAGCGTCATCATCATCTTCATCAAGTTTTCAGTCCGAGGACTGGTTGGACGCGTATCTCCATTCTTTCCTATCTTGAACTAAAACCTATACGCATTTTCTTGAAAGTAGAGCATCCTATGTCTTTGACTATTTGTGAACAACAATCTAATCTAAGTCTATTTCTACCTCTCTTTCCTATCTCCGCCTTCAATATATCGCAAATTAATCCTTCATGTCTCAGCAGGTTTCCTATCTCTCCTACTCTTTAGTGTTTTCCATACACCTATTTCTCTTTATTGACCCCCTCCCCCCAAAGTAATCCTCTTTCGAAGATATCCGACCGGGAGACTATTTTACCTCCGGAATCTTTTACTCCAGAAGATGCCATCAGTATTAGATACGTTATATTAGGGATAAGTACATTAATGTAATACATTAATGTGATAGTTTCCCGTTGCCTTTCACATCGCAGCCGCCTAATCAGTTGATTGGCGTCTGTGAGTGTTCAGTATCGGACCTGTCGAGAATTCTGTCCAGCCCCGATAGTGACTTAGCTGCTGTCCCTATACTTGTTCTTTTAGTCGCCTCTCTTACGATAGGCAGAACCTACCATGGGACTATTCTATACACTAAGAAAAAAAATTTGTCAATCCCAAGAAATATTTAGTCCGATACGTTCAACTAAACATTTTAGTTAGTTAACTAAACATTAGTTGAATTAATTAATTCTTGATTAAAGAAACGAAATAAATTGTTGAAACAACTAATATTTAGTTAACTAACTAAAATGTTTAGTTGAACGTATCAAACTAAATATTTCTTGGGATTAACAATTTTTTTCTCAGTGTACACCCCGGTCCCATACGAGGTTAGCGTCATCAGGTCGAAAGTAATTAATCTTGCGAAAAGTGCTCTTTTAAAATGTTGTTTCCTGATCGAATGAACCTGCAACGATGAATTCACGACGTCGTATTGTCTCAACGAGACCGAGAACGCATGCTAAGGGATAAAATAGTTTAATTCCATTAAAATGCAGCGCGGAACGTTCTGCTGTGCGCGCCGCTCACAAATTTTCCCTTCCCAATTACAACCGATCGTTAAGACGATAGCGCAAAGGTCGAAAGAAAGAGGACGGCGCACAATGGATCGAGTAAAATAAATTGTCGGACATAATTTCAAAAATAAATTTTTCGCTCGCCGCGGTAAAAGAGACTGAGAAACGTTAAAACGCTGCTTCGGGGCATCGTTCGGAAGAGCGACAGAATAATCGCGCGCGACAGTTTCAAGAAGAGACCGTGGAAACGGTCGCGCCGTGGGATGAGAAGCGGCAATTCACTCCCGCGGTGCCGCCCTGAAATCTCTTCCGCCGCCGCTCTCTCGTTCTCCGATCGCCGAATGATCATCTTTGACTCGGGCGTTTCAGGTCGCCGCCGCCGTTGCCCAGGATTACGAGGTATCGGACATTCAGTGCAGCGGCGCGGGATCGGCGGCCGATCTCCTGACAGCGAAGATCAAAAGGCCGGTCGGCTTCAGAGGCGCGCCGCTCTTCGCGGACGACAGATCGGCGAATCCGCTCGCCGACATTCACTGCCAGATCAGGCCGGACCCGAACGATCCGCAGGAGGATAACTACTTCCTGAAGGTGACTGACTTCTCCCGATGCGGCATCCTCAAGAGAAACGTGAGTCATCGAGAGCGATCGGGCGAGTTACGCGGAACGCGATTTTTACGGGGGGGCCCCCCGTACGATGACGCCGCCGCCCGCTCCGTTCCCCCCTCCGTACCCTCACTGACGTCGCACAAACGGAACAGCCTTTACGGATCGCGATCGGTCGATAGCGTTTCTAATTCGCAATTGATTCCCTCTCATGAGTCTCCAGGAGCTATAATACTGCTATCGCGTATATACATACCAGCGAAACGCTTTGTGCGTCCAATCGGATCGTATCAGGCATCGGATGCCGTTATAATATTTCGAGAAGCGATTAGAAGCGATAGCTAACGCTCGGATTAGCCCGCTGGTTGGTAAATACGTCCGAGTTTAACTGTACCGTTCGTATAATTCCGCGCTTCGCGGCTACAAACGTCCTACATTTTGAAGGCGCGGCGCATCTCGCGGGACGTCCTTGTAAAAATTGGACCGTGTAACTCGCAAAAATCACTTAATTCTTTTATGCAACGAGCTATTATCATCGCGATTGATCCGCCACCACAGGGATTCATCCACTTGCGGGTGTGGTTCCCCGCCTTTCCCGGCGTGGTGATGCTGGCCGACCAAGAGCTGATCCTGATGTGCCGACCGCCCGAGCCGACGCTGCTCAGGCACAAGGCTGCCGGTTTCGCCGGCACTTTGTAAGTCACACGCATTCCGCGTATAAGTATATATATATACGCGATATCTTCGTCGAAATCTCGCGGGTAATGGACGAGCATTATTTCCGCCACGCCACGCCGCGTTCGCGTATCGCGTCCGCCGAAGAGCGGCATTTCTGCGCGAGTTCCTGCCTCGAGGAGAAACGGTTATCCGCTTATTTAATTATCATATTTCATAATAGCGATGCAGACGTACCAAGCGCCGTCAAAAGCAGGAAGCTTGAACGTATCATAATTGTCTTTTATCCTTTGCTTGGACGATCTATGCGAATAATCGCGGCATCCTTTAAGAACCAAGAATACCTCTTCGTCTTTCCGCGATGAAAAACTGAAGACGATACGATTGCTCATGTAAATTAATCATTTAAAACGTTATAAGGAGAGTAATATACGTATTTTTAATTTATATGTAAATGGGAAAGATTTGTGGCAAAAGTGTAGAATTAACGATAGCTGATATAACAGCAAGAGAGAACGCAACGTGCTGAAGCGACGACGCGCGTCTGCTTTAAAGGGTTAATCGTTTCAGTCCGCACGGCGCCAGAGTGTCCGGAGTGGTGGAGGAGACGCCGGGCCGGCTCGAGTACGAGGTGGCCCTTTATCGCGAGGCGACCGGCAACGTGTCCGATAATTCGCAGACGGTCGATCAGGCGGTGCCGATCGGCACGAAGCTGCAGCTGCGAGCCCGCATCAGCCCGGACAGCGCCTGGGGATACATCAAGCTGCTGGAGGTGACGGTCAGTCCCGATCCAGATCAACCCCACGCCCCCGGTAGCGTCGTGCTCGTGAAGGATGGCTGCAGGAATCGCGATTTTGCGTCCATCATTCCGCATCAGCCGGCGAGGTACCGCGAGCGCAAGAACGAGGTCTTTCTCGACTTCGAGGCGTTCCTGCTGAGCTCGATGAGAGAGCGTTCTACCCTTTGGATTCACTCGCAGATAAAAGCGTGCATGGAGCCGCAGGACTGTCAACCGGTAGGCGATAACGATTTTCGATATGATTCATTGATAATAACTGAAACAGAACCGTTATGTTGTGTGTGTACAATCAATTAAAGAGAAAAACACCATTTACAGATAATAAGATTTTAATGTATATTTACCTTAAGTTTGTAATCTATATTTGTTTTTTGTTAGTTTCTAAAATTAGATTTATAATTTTTAATATTTTGATAATATTAACAATAAAATTCTAAAATTAATTAGAGAACATGCCATTTTCGGTCGGGCTGGATCTTGATAGCTTAATTATAATATTTCTGTGTAAATTTTATAGCTTTTCCAAACTCAGTAAACTGCGTGACGATTTTTTGTTGGTCGTTAAAGAACAGCTCTTTTCTACAGCAATAATCGATTTAAATTTTGGTATTGATAAACATCTTTATTAAATTGCAGGTTAATATAAGCATCTTTATTAACCAGATTTGAACCTAGCTGGGGTGATATTTTTCGCAATAAATTATTTGTGATTTAATAAGGAATGCTTATATTGATATCAAAATTTAAATCGATTATTTATCGATTTAAGAATGTGAGTTTACTGTTCCAACAAAAAAGGGCTGTGTTTTAAAAACCGACAAAAAATCGGCGCGGTTTACTGAGTTTGGAAAAAGTATACAAACTTTGCATAATGTTATTATTAGACTATCAAGGTCTAGTCCGGGCCGTAATAATGTTTTCCTCTCTATAATTGATTTTCATTGAATACTTCGTGGGACATGACGAGTGCCAGAGTCGTGTCTTGAAATTGTTTGCCATAGGAAATCTCGTTTATTGATGATATTTAAGAACTGGAGTAATTTGTAATAATGCTTTATTTTTGTTTTAATTATCTGTTATATAATCATCATTATTTGATTAGATCTATATTATATAGCTTGGACTTGTAACAAGCTTAAATCTAGCTATCTATCCACTTGCATTAATGCATTAATTAATTAATTAATTAGTTTTCGGCTTAATTAATTAATTAATTAATCTTAATTAATCTGGTTATATCCATTTCGTACTAATTCTAAGACATCTTTATAGAATATATCTGAATTTACAACAAAGTATCGTAAAATTCTAAGCAGTCCAGAGTTTATTTTTATTATTAGCTAGCAACGCAGACTCATATCATATCCATCAGCCCAGCTATTTCTTAAATATTATTCAGCAGAAAAATAGAAATTTTTATTTTTAATTAGCGTCATAATTATTAAATTGATTATCAATTTAATTACGTGTGCTATTTCGGCTTTAGCTTGAGACTATGTTTCAAGACCGATATTACTCAACGCGGCGACGCGCAGTTTGCTGAGCTGGAAAAAAATGTATACACAAAAATATTATTGGACACAAAGATCCAGCCCGACCGCGTGTTTCTATTATTTTCTTTTTTTCATTTTTAGCTAAATAAAACACTGAACAAGAGTCTGTCCGTTAAAATTTAAAACTGTTGACACACAACAAAAAATATATTTTTTTATAAGAGTATTAGTCAAAGATAATTATGCTGCATAACTCGCTCTGCAATACGATCCGTGTTACATACTGGACATACTGTCTACGTATTACATACTATAACATACATCTATATTCGAATGCATTAAATGTACCGGCATGTTTCACGCCGGTAAAATTTATGACAGAAAGAAAACGCGATAGTTTTGAAATATATACATAGCATGTATGATGTGCATACAAAAATCCATTTTCACAACGGATGTAGGCGTGACATTCAACGTCAAAGATATCATACAAGAGATACAAGAAATTAACTATCTGAAATGTGGAAAAATCTCTTCGCTTATGAATCTTACATAAGACGATTCGTAAGTCGGTAAATCTAGAAATCGCGATGGAAGAGATATATAAATTGCCGTAGCCACAGACATTATCTGTGTCGACAGCATGTTATTTATGTATTTCATTCTATCATTTCAATCTCTATCTACTTCAACCTACATCTATATTACATCGCCTACGTTACATTAATTAATTCAAATTTGTTCATTTTAATTGTTACAGTAATCTTCCGTGACTTATCGAGATTTTCTAATTAAATATAGGCAAATGCCCGTTATCTATCGCGTATTATGCTATAGCCCTTTATTTTCACAGGACTTCTGTCTCGATCTTTTCGAACCTTCGGGACACGGGAAGAAGAGGAAGAGAGCCGTCGAGGCGAATGTGGAAGTATTAGGCGAGTTCCTCCCGAAGGTCGAGCGTTTGATCAAAAGGTACAACGACTCCACGCCGTACACGAAGTTCAAAGAAAATATTGAGTATACAGTGATGATGCCGGATGGTAAGCTTCATATTTCTTAATCACAGAGAAATTAAATCCTTTGACTTTGTAATCGAGATTGATCTCTCTGATGTTAATTCTCGCGAGACTCTGCAATAAGATTTACGTGTAACTTATAAATTCTCTAGCGAATGCATCGAGATTAAAATCCGTTCTAGATCAGAAGTCGGCAAAAGATCCATTTTTGAATGGTTTCCGTAATTATTATTTACTAATTTTTACGCTAAATTCGAAATTCAATAATAATTAATTACTATTATATTTTGAATTTCTTGTTTCAAATTAATTATTATATTTAAAATTTGGTCAATAAAAAATATATTTCCTCTTCCGTTATATGACTATACTTGATGATCGTTCTCTTATATGGTTACTAGTTAGCCAGCAAAGTTTAAAATATTTATCCGGCTCTTTATGGGAAAAGTTTACCAACCTCTGATCTAACGGGAAAAAGCGGGAGGGACGCATAAGGCGATCGCTATAATTCTAATTAATATTTCTCCTCATTATCGCAGACCTGTACGACAAAGTTACGGCCGGCCTCGAAGGTAGCTGCGGAAATTTTCTCTACGTGGCGACGGGATTGGGTGCTCTACTCGTGTTATCGGCCTTTATCATGTGCTACTTGGCGTCGCGTCTTCACAATCTGTCCTCGACGGTGCAGCAGAACAAGTCCATCGACGAGCTGGTCCGAGACCGCACCAGGAAATATTGCGACACCACGCCCGGTTACACCGGTCGTTCGACCATGCAATAGAGCGACGCGCGATAAGAGAGATACATAAATCACTCGCGCCGAATATACTCCTCATCAAGTTGTACGGTGTAACACGCGCGCATATCGTACAGGGTATAATTAATGTAACGTTACTTGGAGACTAGGACGTTTATCTGCTAGAAGGAGGGCAATGTCATCGTTTACGAGCCACTTGACTCCTCGCTTCGAAAAGCGCGAGATATTTGTCCCACTTCAGTGGCGATGAGATGTATCCTTAATTAATCTTTCGTCACTGATATGATACGATAGTCGCGTACCGCAACTTCGTCGAGGAGCGATTCCGGCAGCGAGCACTGAATTAACGTTCGGACTAGCGAACGTTGCCGCCCACCGTGGAACGAAATAATAGCTCTCGTAACGAGGAACGCCCGGTGGCAAATGACTGTGCTTCCCGTGTAGAATAAAATCAATTTAACGACGAACGTTCGAGTGAAAGTAAATTGGGAATTCGTGAAAAGAATCTGTCATCGGATTTGAACACAGAACATCTGCTTTGTCTTGCGATGTAGATGCGGTGTAGACTTACAATTAGACGTGTTTACGTCTTCATGAGGAAGCACTTTTTAATTTTTCTACATAAACACAAGAAGCACATAGAGCCTCTCTATCTCTTGCCTAATTTTTCACCTTTTTGATTCTAAGTAAAGACAGCGTTCAAGAAGAACAATTTCTGTTCTGTGTTGTATGATGTTAATAATGCATCATTTGACTGCCTGGTCGAGTCTTGTTATCAAACAGTTAGACGAAGTGAGAAAAATTGCTAAAAATTGAGTTATACTTAATCGCGTTTTTCTCGCGAACCTTTTATTCGTTTATTAGTTAACTTGTAATGCACTATTCCCCAAACATTTCGCGCACATCATGCAATTTCCGTCGAAAGTTTCACGATCTGTCTCTCGATATTGCTCAAATATGAAAAAAATTAGTCTCACTACGATGAGTCTCTCAAACGTGCAATGCTATCACGTGACCTGATCATGCGAGCGGATCGCTCGTGTAAATAGGATAATAAGAACCTCGTTGAATGCGAAGGAACTCGAACGGGAAAAACATTTGGGGTGGTTGCACGAATTTATCTCACCTTGTAAATAAACACAATTGCGGCTCGCATTTTACAGCATACCTTTTAACAGCGCAGATGTTTTATACGTATATTATTACGAGAATCTATATATAATATATCTTAATTAAGTAAAAGATATTTTGGAGGAGGTCTATGACTCTCAAGTTCTGAATCAATCTGTTTTTTAATAAAGGGACAAGAATTAATAGGGAGAAAAAAAAGTAAGTTTGAGCGAAGAAAAATTACCTTGTTCGCCAAATTATTATACATTCAGCTGAGTATGTTAAAAAGCATTAATATACGCCTGTATTGCATGTTCAATAACTTCGCGTGTTTCTTGAAGTTATCTTTAAGAAACGCTCTGAAAAAAGAATGGAAGTTTTATATATTTAACAATAATGCTCATACGAGAGAAAGAGAGGGAGTAAAACTAATCGCGAGGACACGATAATCGGTCAGTGAAGGTAACTAAGAAGCGTAGTACACATTACTTACGATTATTGTAGATGTGACCGTGTACAATGACTATTTATTATAAAATAAAAGGTTAAACAATCTTCTGCGTGCTACAATTTTTGTTCGGTGTCGAACTCTCTTTCTGTATAGAAAATCACGAACTGTACAATTTTTTTTGTCTTCCAGTGTAATCTAATTCAACTGTCGCTTACAAGTTTATCGGCGCCAATGCCACCGCCACTATGTTATCAGGTCGAGAAACCTGTTCGCGTTATATAGGATGTCCCAGATTCTTCGTTCGATCGTAGATTGCCCGTCGATGCTTACGAAAGCTTGACGGACACTTGTCAGTCCTCGCGATTTAATATCTTAACGAAGAGAGCTCCAATAGTTTATCTGGAACATCCTTAAACAATCTTCGTGTACGACGAATATCACGTATTTTCTCTGTTCATTCCTCCACAGACGCAAACAGTTCAAGTTCGGAGATAAACGGTAACTCGGTTTTCGTTCAGTCTGTATGACGTGCGCCGTAAATCTAACTTCTTTGGCTCCGTTATTTTTGGGCATACGATACTCTAATATCTCGCATTAGAAAATCTAACACTTAAATTACGCGTCATAATTTGCTTCGATGAACAATGCTAGTTAAATTAGCTACCCGGCCGGATGTCTTACGAACCGCGAAGTTCGGTCTCGTAAGTATCGCCGTCTAGTAAATGATCTCGGTATCGCTAAGAAACATGCGATAGGCATTTGTAAATGCTTAGGAACTTCCAATTAATTAGACCGAATCACGAGCCTAGCTCATTTACCTGCCAATCTCGGCTATTTCGTAATTCCTGGATAAAAGACTACGGAATACTCGGAACGCGTTTGCATATACGCGTTCCGATATATTTTCGCTAATTAAATATATAAAATATTTCATAAATATAAGAAAACATACACCTCATATTGCACAATGAGAATTCCTTTGAAGATCGAACATGTCATTGTTTCAGTAAAATTCAAGCTATAATCCGTAATATTCGTAACTTGCTTAAAAATATTGAAACTCCATTCGAACAAATAACAAATGCTCTAGCGTATGCGAAAAAGATAAAAACGACAAAATGATAAAGACTGCGTTTAGACGGCTATTAGTGCTATTGCATTTTTATCGCTTATCAAGTGTAAAACAAAGATAGAATAAGCAAATAGCGCTAATAGCGCGCTCCTCGAACGCAGCCAAAGTGGTATGAAGATCATCGCACGATGAAAGAGAATAGTAGCGAAAAATAGTTGAAATTCAACACCTCGACTTGAAAAATATTCGATCTTCGTTTCTACATCGCGTCTTACATGATTGCTTATACGGTAATTGTGATTATTTCCGATATTTGAATCAAGCAATGATATCACAACGTGAACATCGTGAGAGAACAATAATTACGAAGCATACTTACATTCAAAGGCTTTGTAACATTTTGATATACCTTTAAGACTCTTTAGAGATATGTTGAGCTATATGTAGGATGTGCCAGGACTGTGTTCTAGGCTTGTGATAAGATTAGAAATAAACACGAAGTTAAATTACTTTAGTTTTTGCTGAAAAAATCCGCTGAAAATAGTTTTGAAACACAATACGATTCAATAAACGTATTTCGAGAATCAAATTTATAATTGCCATTTTAATTAAAGAAATTGGATGTAGCTTGAGACATCCTTAACTTTCGTTTCTGGCAATTTAGTAACCGACAAAGTTCGAACATTTAAATTATTTTGTAATTATATAATTATTATGAACTAAATAAATTTAGTTCACTAGATAATCTTTCTAAAAAGTTCACTAAATGATTAGAAAAATATTAATCACCATTTAAAACCCTAAATAAACATTTAAAAAATAAAATTAAAAGTGATAAGAAATCCATAGGACGAATGACGATAGCCCTGGCACATCTTGCATATAAAATGTTCACCTGATTTCATGATCGTCATCGTTGTGCATCAATTTCTGATAGCAATATTGCAATAAATTAAAACTAGCGCGTGTTTCACGTCGCTAATTAATATTTCTATTAGCATACTGATTGATTATAAATATTCATTTCAACTATGTAAGGCATTTCGAAACGATAAATTGAATGTCGGTGTGACATCATATTTACAACATTGACTTTATAAAATCTGATAATCACGCATACACACTGCGAATGTTCGCGTAAAGGAATTAAAACGAACAATTATTCAATCCTGTCATTTTTCTCAGACTTGATGATGGCTTCGTAAGCGGCAAGCTCTTTTTTCTCCTTCCTTAAATTTCTATCCTCGAATTCCAACCTGCAATTAGACGCTAGATCAACACGTGATAGGAATGCTCGCAGTCGTTGGGATATGTGGATTTTGATTATCATCAAAAGAGGCTACTATATATATACAATATATTGCAATAAATGAGAGAATGGAGCAAAATGAAACTCAAGAAAATACTTTGCAAGATGAACATAATTACATATCCCATCAGAAGCAGTAAATGAATGAATGACAACAAATTATAATGAGACGTAAGTAAATATGCGTTTATTGTAAATTGAGTAGAAAATACAGAACTGCCAGGTCTGTCCCAGATTTCTTAATTAGGTAATCAACGATTGCTTAATAATTGAATAAAGAATACAAAACAACCAGATTTTAATTATCAACATTTGTTGAAATTCTTAATAACCGTGCAAAGCTCGTTCGGCCTAGGGGGATAAAAAGCAGAATATGACAAATTAATATGTAAATTTTTTTAACTTTTCGGCGTAATTAAAAGCTTTGCAATATCAATTTTATTAAAAATATTTAAGTTATTATAGAATAGGGATGGAATATGGTGGAACATATAAAAAATATATTTAGTTTTGTAGAATTCTAAACAAAAATGTACATAGTGACTCGAGAACGGAAATTAATATATTATCAAATCGCAGTAATATATTGCTCATAGAATAACGCGAGCAGTCACTGTATACTATTTTCTCAAATAATTATACGTAATATAATTGTACTATAAATGTGAATAACAAAGATATCGAATAAATAATCTTTATAAATATATATATATCTTCTATTTAAGCAAATTGAAAATATCGTTAGCAATATGTAAATTTAATGTAATTAATTTACTTAAGAATTTTATAACTAAAGAACATAATTACGATTACATATAAACTATCATCAGGAATCTTTTATAAACTGAAGTATCAAAAAATTATTAGAAAATTTAATAAAGAGAACGTATACATGCATAACATGTCTGTAAAATGGAACATACCTGTGAAGAATGATCCTTTCAACGATTTTTTCCGTCGTCATGTCATTACCGCTATCTAACAATTTAAACTTATTTTGCCTCTTGGGCTCCGTGTACGGATCCGATCCATCATCGCAAGGCATTATAGGCGTTTGTCCATGACACACGATAGATACATTAAAATGTTCCATCAGATTTCTTGTCACCGCATACGGCGCGCCGATTACAACTTCATTGACATACTGTAAATAAGAAAAGAGAATACAATGAATAAAGCTATGTGACATAACTCGTTTCTGTTATCTCAAACAGTGGCGTGACCACAGACGTGATTTATCAGTTTCTTTTTACACTAGAAAATATGGATCGCAGTCTTCTGAAAACTACGCATGTCGCATCTATATTCATATATTGACTAAGCTCATATGTTAATGTACAAATCTGTATTTTTCCATTCTATCGTTTTCCACTTTATCTCACGCGGATACTTATTAAAAATCTCAGATCGGTGCAAAAAAAAGGCTCACCTTACACGCTAATACACTGAGAACCCGTTCGTGAAGATTCATGATAGGATGATTGCCGCATTTATATCGATTAACAGCGGGATCGGTGTGTAGACCGACTATGAGGTAGTCCCCCTCCTTTTTGGCGACCTCCAAGAAATCCAAGTGCCCCACGTGGAAGAGATCGAACGCGCCTGCAACGTACACGATCTTATCGCCCGGCTGCGGACTCTTGCCGTCGCTGAACTGTATGATTTTCTGTGTGGTCGGCAAAAATTGCGAACAGCCGGTCCATGGACTCCGAGCGGTTCGATCCTGACCCATGCTCTTGCTCGGTTCTCTGTCGACACTGTATTCGTTGTCACCCTGTCGAAAGTGTTGTCGTGTCATCAGTAACATACGTCCTACAAGATCGGTCGTCGAGACGCCGGCAGTACGCTGGACTTCTCTAAAATATCAAAACCTTCTCAGTAAAAGACTGTATAATCTTTTAAATAAACAGCAAAATAATGTTATTTCTTTTTAAGGAAATTACCTGTAACGACCGGCTGCCTTAACTAAATGATACGTGTCCACGCCATCAGCGGTCATTGTAATATCATCGCCGTGAACACAAAAATCACAGTTATGCTTGTCTAATGTTTCTAAGGTAGTGACATAAGGCGCAGCTTCGACTACTTCGTCTACCCATTTAATGCCGCGTACCATTTTGTACCTAAGGAAAAAAACATTCAGTTTGTTAATGCTCCTAGTAATAAAATTATTACGTAATCGTTTTATCGTTATTTTATCGATTATATATGCTTAAACAGTTGTTCATGAGAACTTTTGCAATTTTAAATTTCGCTGTGGAAGTTTGATGTAAAATTGTTATATTCGTATCGACATAATCTTGATAATAATCTATAATTAACACTGGAGAAAGTAACTTATGTAAACGCGGTTGACAAGACACAGTTCTTACTTTGTAGCAACGTTAGATTGTGTACCTTAACTGTTCAGTTTTTTTTTTCTACGCAAGTATTGACCTAAAATATCAAGGCTCTAGCGAGACCTTCCTTCTAACATGATTGTAGCTCTAGAATATATTAAAATTTTATATCCAAACGATGGCGAATATGAGACTCGCATAAACATCTCTTTTGTAATAACTAAGACATACTACAATGTGCTAGATTTGGAGCACTAACGTTCATCATTATGTAATCGCGTTTCCAAGGCATAAGAAAAAAAAACCGTGTACAAGAAGTGGAGAACACATGTATCCACTGTGCTAGCATTACGAGCTTCAAGAGAATAAATGTATAGAATTTGAAAGATTAATTAACATAATAACTAGCTCTAGATGACAATCGAAATCGTGACCAGTCATTATGGCTTACATAATTTCCTAGCTTTAATGAAGCAACAGATATACCTTTCTTGCTCGGTGAAGACAGGAGGACCCTTGTGTCTCGTGATTTCTTCATCGTTGTGGACACCTACCACCAGATAATCGCCTAAAGCCTTCGCCTGCCTCAAGGAATTTGCGTGTCCAAAATGCACCATGTCATAACTGCAATCGAAATTTTATTTGTATTTATTTCGTGTCGATAAAGGGAGAATATTGTTAACAAGAATGTCAATAAAACTATTTCGAGTTACGAAAAGAATTACTAGGAGAAAGCCGTTCAACTTAATATAGAAAACTGTGGAATTTTTTCCAAACTAATATTTAATATTGTTTAAATTGTTTGATCACAAGAGAAGATTAAATATTATTTTCACTATAAATATATAATCAATAATAGACCGACAAATGCACATTTGTATGGATTTATACATCGTTTGTACTCCGGCGTTCCATGTTTAAATAATATTAAACTAAAATTTGCAAATTGTGTGCAAATTGCAAATAATTCGACGAAAACGATTTTCCCGTCTGTACAAGACAAAAAATAAAAAAGCGAAATATTTTCATATTTCAGCGTGAGGATGTTTATTATTATTAATAACAAATATAGTATAATGATTGAATAAAGATATCGTAAAGTAGGGGGAATAAAGTAGCCTTGAATGTAAAACAGCTTTGATAACTATTATATCAGTCGCACGAGTCGCGATAACGCGACATATAAATCACACGATAACACATTGAAATACGCATCTGAGCGTATCAATTTCTTTTGCGATTGCAATACTAATTAGTATTAAATGACGTGCAAAAATGTGGGAATAGGTAGAGTTTTAAGAAATGTGTCGTGAAACGAAACGTTTAGGTCGACAAATATACAAAAATCTATCGAAATTGAAGAGAGAGAAAAAAAGTAATCAAAATTTTGCAATTAGTATTAAAATTAAAGTGTTCGAGAGAATGAAACATTAAAATCGATACATTCAAAGCTACAATTTAATGAGTTTTTTTGCGTCCATCAACGTGATACGTTGATTTTTTTTATTTGCACATAAAAACTACACGTAAGTAAGTCGAGCGAGCCACAATGAAGATCTCGCATTCCGAGGGTCTTGCGCAGTCATAAAAAAAAAAAACACACAATACCGCAGTGAATCGTGAACATCGCATACGAAATCGCGCGATCATGTTTCACATGCCTCCAGCTATCATTCTCCATTGCTAATCGATTGTCGTTTTAAACGACTCATTTCCTCATGTGCCAACAACATTGATAGAGGTATCGATTTATTTTTGTCCCAAATATACGCAAATGTTTTAAATGTGCGTCATCGCGCAGCGGAGAAGGACGACGGGATTCCAGAATCGCTGAAACAAGGGCTTGAATTTTCGGCACGCCGATATTTTTTTTCTGCCTTTGAGAACTACGATTTAATTTGAATAGATTATCGTCCGTATTTAAAATTACGAATACTCGAGTAAAAATAAAATGTTAATGTAAGATAATCGCGATTCTTGTCAAAGCCATCATTAAAACTGTATAAAATTATCTTTATATTGTTTAAGATATTTCTATTTCTATATTTTCTCTAAAAATGTTTCGTACAGACATATATTCCTTACTATATGTATAACATTTAAAGATACTAAGTATATATGAAACTTAAATTTAATCGGCGCTGCCGACGACAGACCGGTCTGCCGTGCTCTCCCCGTGCCATTTTTTACCGGAGCGTTAAACGAGGACAAACGGCGCTTCGAATTGTGTCGCAGCGAACCGGAGGAGACATCGGCGACGATTCTCTATTGCTAATCCGCACAAGTGCGGGACACGATTTCGGAGTGCACATCTGTCATTTCGACCCATTCGACTAATCTACTTCGTTAGAACGGAGACTGGAGAACGCGTCTTTCCTCTTTCCTCCTCACGTCCACGAGATAAAACACCTACAATATAAATAATTGTAAACTAAATTATGAAATACAATCCTCCTCTTGTGTGCCCATGATAAAATACCTGCAATATAAATGTAAACTGAATGGATAGAGTTGTAAAATATAAATAAAAATATTCCTACAATAAAAATAAAAACCTATAAAGAATAATATATCTACAACTGAATTCCAGGATTTTATACCACACACTTTTTCGATGCATGAATGATAAAGAAAAAGGAAAATCATATCCGGAACTGGATCGTCTGAGAGTAAAACCTCTACACTTTCTTTCACAAGTTCGAGATTTAAGCCTCTTATCGCCGTGTTTCCAACTAGAAGCTCCAGTTTTTTTTACATGAAAATCTTCTATCAACTTATACTCTTCTTATCTTCGTTTTATAGCACTTTTCCAATCCTTCTAAACAAACTTTTCTCCTATAAATTTATACCCCTACACAGTCTACGACCGGTTAGACCGTTAGAATGTAAAAATATACGACCTTTAAAGGCTGTATGTAAATTTCTGAAAAAAGAAAGGAAAGAATATTGAAATGACGTGTATCAGAGTAACGATATAAGGCGGAAGATTAATTGAAGACGGTGCTGTGCATAAAGAAAGACATTAAGCGCATAAACAAAAGTATCGTTCGCATGCAATCAGCGGTTGCACGAGAGTCAACGAGGAGAACCCAGGGAGAACGCGCTGATTCAGGGACTCGCCGTCCCTCGCGATTTCACTCCCGCGTCGGCGGCGGGACGGAAGGGTTGGACACGTATGACCGTGTATTAAATATCGATTGATCGCGTTCCTAACGGACGAAGCTCGGGAGGCGGAGGTCGGAGGTAATCCGCAGTAATCCGCACCCCGCGCTTCGTGTGACACGTCGAGAATGCGATCGACACGTGTGCGCTTCCGTCGGCCGGCCCGGCGGCCTCGCGGCGTGCGTCGGCGTCGCCGCTCGTCGCCTCCCTGCGGTCTCCTGACGATCCGCGTTTCGACGCGCGTTTCCTCGGCGCGGGTCCAAAAATATCTGTAAAAATGTCGCTCACCATCCGTCGCACCAGACGCGAACCTCCTTGCGGGCCTCCTCCGTCATGACGGGCGCAGCCGGGTGTTCCGTTATCAGCTGGATATCACAGGATATCACTGACTGGCGACTGCCGTCCCTTCCTGTCGCGAGTGACGTCCGACCGGACCGGACGGCTGTGGGGTGATCGCCGGGAGAGGGGCAAAAGGGCAGAGGAAGAGAGACAGAAAGACTCCGCTCGCGCGCACGTGCGAACAACCGCCACCGATCCCGTCGCGCGGCCGACTGCTCGCGTCGTCGTTTTACACATCGCCTTTAAAATCCCACCGCGTCCCGCGTCCTCGCGGCTCGGCCGTCGGCGTCATCAAGCCGATCAGGCGTCATCGCCGAGTAGGGATTGGTTGGCGTAACTCCGGGGGAAGCTTGAGACAGTTGAGACCTTCCACGTTCCACGTCGCGCCGACGCACGGAAACGTACGGCCCTTGAAAATTGTAGCCGGCCGTGATAATAATGAGTCACACGCACGCATCTGGCTCTTTTATCGATTTCGTAAAAGATGTTACTTATAATTGCGACTGGTTTCGACGCCTATCCATGGCCATGTCGGTTTCAATCCCCCGCCCCTCTCCCCCGTCACGGCTTATTGATTTAAATTTCTAAATGACCAATTCTTTGCCAGGGGCAAAAGATAAAGGTGTGGCGAAATAAATGGCTTCGACACTTTGAAAAAGAAATTTTGTAGATATAGCTGTTCGCAGATTGCACGATTGCCGAATATTTGATGAAAATGCGATGAATTTACCTAGAATTACCACATTATCATGATATAGCAAGAATGATGTTCATATTCTTATAAAAATTGTTCTTTTTATATACATATATTTTTATGCGTAAAACAAGCCAGTTATATTGTAGTTCTTAATAATAATAAAACGAAATGGCAATTTAATTCAATTCGATAGCATCAAAAGCGATTACGGAATGTATATCCTTTCATAATCCGATTATTTTAGCAAATTAATGTACGGCGATTGATCTGTCTGGTTAAACGTTTTGATCTCGTTCCATGAACAAGATGGTGTATTAACTGCTAACTCATCTAATTCAGAACTTGCGTCATTTCGTTTGCCATTAGTTCGGAAAACAAACCTGCATGTTTAAATATATCTTTTAGACTCATTGTCAGAGATAGCGAACGTGATCTGACATATGATTTTTCAGTCACGCTAGATGCGCATATATGCTAAACAATTTAATTGCATATAATTGCGACTGTAAATATTAATCAGTGCTTCATCTCTTCCTGGTTTATATATGTATAAAGTATACATACACTAATTATGATATACAATATACGAAATTTCTTTGTTTTAATAAAGGAAGACATAGTTTACAGTTTACACGATTAGTGCTTAATCATAATTTCATAATATCTTGTGATTAAAAAATTATATCATGTCATTAGGTCTGTTCTATTTAGCTGAACTTCTTGCACAGTTCGTCTTTTCTCTTTTTCTCTCCAACGTGAAAAGAAAAAGAGAAAAGATGAACCGTGCAAGAAGTTCAGCTAGACAGAACAGGCCTATTACCCCTTCGCTATCACTATAGTCTAATAGATATAATTATTCTATCATTATAATATAGCAGACACAGAGATATATAATGCAAAATCATTATATAGTCGCAAAAATATGCGGAAAAATGAATAAATAAAATTATACTAAATAGTAATTATAGAAATGATACTAAATAAGCTTATTATTCTTCTTAAATTCTGTATGAAATAATTCTTTTGTTATATATTGCCGTGTTAAAATGTTATTGCGCAAGAAAGAAATAGCGGCATTCTGCACATCCCAATAAACTTATTATAACATCGCCATAAATACATGTAGAGGAAAGTGCCCTATTATGAGA